ACTAATTCTCATTTCTCCTCCTCGTGTTTTTTTTCCATCCTTGAAACTATAAAATTAATATTTTTTATGTTTATATTTTTTTATATTAATTATATATTATAATGTCCATTTTTTAAATTTTTTAATTTTTACAGAATTTGTAGTAATTACTATTTTATTTTATTTAATTGATAGTGAAATTAATTCTTGATTATTTTTAGTTTTTTTTAGTATTTTCAGTTTGTGAATTAGTTTTAGGATTATCATTAATGGTTAGAATTAATTATGAATTGGGTCATCAAAAATTAAATATATTAAATTTAATTTATTAATATAATAATGATAATTATAATAATATTTTTTTATTTAATAATATTATTTTTAAAAAAAAATAATAATTTGAATTTAATTATTAGAAATTTAATTATAATTATATTATTATTTAATTTATTTAATTTTAGTTGAATTGAATGAATTATAAATATATGAAATTCGAATATATGAATATCGCTCGCGCGATAACTGCACGCTGATAATGGAAGCCTCGTTGGGCGACGGCGCGTTTAACCGAGGCACGAATTCCTTTTATATCCGTGCCAAGGATACCTCGACACACGAGGATGTTCCATCGCGGGGATAACGCGCACGGTTTCTTGTCTCTACTCGCACTTTGGAACACTCGGTGCGCCTCGGTGTTCCCCCTCCCGCCACTCGTTCTTTCATCCGGTCGACAGTCTGCCGACTATTTTGCCCGACTTGGGAGATAACAGCTTTTTCTCGGCTCTACGAACATCGTTTCGACGTTCGGTTATTATTAGAAAGAGTCTAGGGATATTTGAAATTCTTTCTAGTTAGGTGACATAGATGATATCTTTGCTCGAGTAAAATTTAAAGGTGATCGAGAGATTGCCACGAGTTTTAAATATTTTTATTTCGTGAATCCAATAATTAATTATGGATAATAATAGTAATTTCTTTTATTACGAAGATCGTTTCGATGTTCGATTATTATTAGAAAGAGTCTAGGGATATTTGAAATTCTTTCTAGTTAGGTGACATAGATGATATCTTTGCTCGAGTAAAATTTGAAGGTGATCGAGAGTGTTTTATGGATTGTTACGAGTTTTAAATCATTCTATTTCGTAGATCCAATAATTAGAATAATAATAATAACTTTTTTCATTACGAAGATCGTTTCAATGTTCGGTTATTATTAAAAAGAGTCTAGGGATATTTGAAATTCTTTTTAGTTAGGTGACATAGATGATATCTTTGCTCGAGTAAAATTTGAAGGTGATCGAGAGTGTTTTATGGATTGTTACGAGTTTTAAATTATTCTATTTCGTGGATTAGGATAATTAGGATAATAATAATAACTTTTTTTATTACGAAGATCGTTTCGATGATCGTTCGGTTATTGGAGGGAAGAGTCTAGGGATATTTGAAATTCTGACTTTCTCGGTACGTAATATAAATAATACCTTTGCTCGAGTAAAATTTGAAGGTGATCGAGAGGTGTTTTATAGATTGTCACGAGTTTTAAATTATTCTATTTCGTAGATCCAATAATTAGAATAATAATAATAACTTTTTTTATTACGAAGATCGTTTCGATGTTCGGTTATTATTAAAAAGAGTCTAGGGATATTTGAAATTCTTTCTAGTTAGGTGACATAAATGATATCTTTGCTCGAGTAAAATTTGAAGGTGATCGAGAATGTTTCATGGATTGTCACGAGTTTTAAATTACTCTATTTCGTGGATCCAATAATTAGAATAATAATAATAACTTCTTTTATTACGAAGATCGTTTCGATGATCGTTCGGTTATTGGAGGGAAGGGTCTAGGGATATTTGAAATTCTGACTTTCTTACGTGATATAAATAATATCTTTGCTCGAATAAAATTTGAAGATGATCGAGAGATTGCCACGAGTTTTAAATATTTTTATTTTGTAAATCCAATAATTAATTATGGATAATAATAATAACTTTTTTTATTACGAAGATCGTTTCGATGTTCGGTTATTATTAGAAAGAGTCTAGGGATATTTGAAATTCTTTCTAGTTAGGTGACATAGATGATATCTTTGCTCGAGTAAAATTTGATTTGATAGAGTTTTAAATATTTCTATTTCGTGGATTTAAAAATTAATAATTATAATAAATTCTCGAAACTTTGATTTTCTCGCTACGTGATATAAATAATATCTTTGCTCGAGTAAAATTTGAAGGTGATCGAGAGATTGTCACGAGTTTTAAATATTTCTATTTCGTGAATCCAGTAATTAATTATGGATAATAATAGTAACTTCTTTTATTACGAAGATCGTTTCGATGTATTATTATTAGAGGGAAAAGTCTAGGGATATTTGAAATTCTGACTTTCTAATTAGATGACATAGATGATATCTTTGCTCGAGTAAAATTTGATCGAGAGTTTTAAATATTTCTATTTCGTGAATCCAATAATTAGGACGATAATAATAACTTCTTTTATCACGAAGATCGTTTCGACGTTCGGTTATTGGAGTCTAGGGATATTTGAAGCTCTGATATTTCTCGCTACGTGATATAGATATCTTTGCTCGAGTAAAATTTGAAGGTGTTTTATAGATTGTCACGAGTTTTAAATTATTCTATTTCGTGGATCGAATAATTAGGACAATAACTTCTTCTCGGGTTTTTATCGGTTAGAAGATCGTTTCGACGAGAGGGATCGATGGAGATATCTAGGAATATTTGAAATTCCGATTCACTCGCTATAAAACCTGAGTATGGGCAATATTTTTTTTATCTGTTAGAAAGTTGAGAAGTAATCGAGAGATGTTTGGTGTGGTTGGCCTAGGGATATTTGAAATTCCAATTCTATCACTGTGCGTTATGGGATAATATTTTCCGTTCGAACGAATTTTAAAGGCGATCGAGAAAGGCGTTTGATAGATTTTTCGTGGATTTTAGATATTTACGCGCGCGAGATGATGGACATTGTTCAAAGTGTTCAAATATATTGAATATATCGACGTATTATTATTTTCACATAATAAATCGATATTGACGAGGTTAATAATACAAAATATTATTAACCATCATTATTCGTATATGAATCGATATGAATTATACATGAGATAGACATGTTGTCTAGGGATATTTGGAATTCCAATTTTTCCCGGACGGAGTGGATTATTCGGGAGAATGAATGAAATCTAAAAATTTTTTCAATCTATTAAAAATTTTCTCTGATCCTATCTCGTCACTTTTCATCGTCTTCTCAAATCATTGCACGAACGTTGAAAGTCTTAACTGATTCGTTAAGAGACACGTGATATCAAGATAAAAGAAGAAGAGAGAGAAAGAGAGAAAAGAGACGCGCTGCAAGAGGAAAATCATTGCAGCATAGAGAAATAGTGCTCGTTAAGCCATTCAATTTCCCCTCCTCGGCCAGGGGAGAGCTATAGCTTCGCCCCAGTTTATAGAATCGTCCTGTACAATCTCTGTATTTCAAACGTCGAGCAACATAAATCACCAACGACCAACAATTTTTATTTTTAACTCCATCTATTCCCCTTTTCCGAACACTTGATCCCCCCCCCCCCTCCTCTCTCCTCCCCCCTTTTTCCTGTACACACAATAATAATATCAAGAATAATAATACGCACGCGAGAATAACGTTAACACAAAATGTATTAGCGATTTGCGACTCTTAAGGCCGCGCTCTTGATAAAATTTATTCGAGATTAGATTACTGTGGACTTTACGTTGCGCGCAATCTCGAATTAAATTACCAAATTTCATATATACATATATATATATATATTGTTTATTTTAATTTATAATCCTTCACACATTGGATTTTATTCAGGGTTAAATAACTATATAAATAACTATATAAATTGGCAAATCTTTCCACCATGTTGGAAAATATATACATCTTCCCTTATCACGAGGATAGAACGTTTCTCGACGCACGATCCTCGTTATTAGAGAGAGTTACAAATGCAAAGGCAGCCAGCCTCTGACAATATAATTCCATCGAACGAATTTGCGGGACGAACTTTTCCATTCGCGGAATATCAGCCGGACCGCACGAGCGTTTGGCAAATTTGACGAGGGCGAATCCGCTTACGAGTTCACTGTATCGAGTTTCTCTTTCTTTATCTTTCAATCTTCTCCCACGCTACCGACCAAAAAATTTCAAATCAATCAAATATCGAGGAAAATAAGGCTCGAAGGAATTCTTCGAAGGAATATTTCTCGATTATCTACGCGTATAATATATTTATAATATAATAATTATATTTATTGCAATATAAGAAAGATACGTCGGTAAGTTCGAAGTTTTGATCATATTTCGAATGAAGTTGAAAATTGACGAATAATTCTCTATGCGTATAACATATTTTTATAATATATTTATTAATATATTATATAATATATTTAATATAATATATTTATAATATAATAATTACATTTATTGCAAGATAAGAAAGATATGTGGATGACTTCGAATGAAGTTGAAAACTAGAATATCGAGTCATTTATTACACGAAACTGAACAACCATCTTCCTCATCATCCGGATCCAATAATTCGTTTTCGTGGAAAAGAAGCGTTTTCGAGAATCATCCTTTATGATTGACGAATGATTCTCGATTATCCACGAGTATAATATATTTCTACTGTAATAATTATATTTATTGCAAGATTACTCATAAGATAAGATTACACACGTAAAGAACATCTATTTACAATATTCTAAAAGAAAGATATGTGGAAAAACTTGCAAGCTTTGATCATATATCGAATAAAGTTGAAAACTGGGATAAACTGGAATACCGAACAACCATGTTCCTCATCATCCGGATCCAACAATTCAATTTTCGCGCTTTTATGTAATAATGCTCGAGTGAGTGAATAATGTGTAGTAATAGTGGAGGGGGGGAGAGAGAGGAGGAAGAGGAGGAAGGGATTTTGCGAGAAAGATAAAAAAGAAAGAATTGTAAAGAAGGGAAAACGCCTTACCTGTGAACGACGTTGGCCAACAGATCGTTGTGCCGCAGCCTGTAGTCCACGTCCACCTTCTGATAGTTGACGGTCAAGGTACCGGCACGGATGCAACGCTCGTACTCCTCGGCCGGATGCGCTCGAAACTCTCTCGCGAACACCTCGAGGATCTTCTCCCCCACCCATCTCCCTTTCGTGAACGTGGTGAAGGTGAAGTAATAGGGGTACACTTTCCTCAACCCTGTGAAAACGCAACAGCACGAACAAACCTTCTAATTAAAATCTCGCGATATAGGGATATTTTTAATAACACGCGATACGTTAATTACGTTAATCAATTAAACCTCGCGTTGATTTAACTTGGAGAAGAATTCCTTTCTTTTTTTTTAAAGCGAATTTTTAATTTCAATCGATCTTCGTGTTAGATCGAAACGGTTATTTCAAACAAAAAGTATATATTAGTAATAATTATTTGAAGTAATAATTATTTGATTAAAAAAAATTGCTTTTTCACCGCTGAACCATTTCTGGATTCCGTTAAATTAACCCTTCGCGCTCCATGCTTATTTCGCTCGAACCAACAACGCAATCGGTGGCCTCATAAAATTACTATAAGATAATTACTCATAAGATAAGATTACGTAAGATTATAATACGTAAAGAGCATCTATTTATGAAGCGACATTCTAAAAGAATCAAACGTAAATAAAAAATATTGTTGCCGTTCAATCTCAGTGGAGAGTCGAAGGGTTAATCCACACGACGATTCTACCGATCGAATATAAATCATCTAGGTTTAGATATCTAATAACAAATTGCTTAAAATTTTCAAAATTTCGTCCGCGATATCGTCTCCCCACTCGTATATAATAACACGATATATAATAAACACGCGTAGATTCGAACAAATCAATCAACAGCCGAGTGAACAAGTATTTTCAACAGATATCTCGTCTCCTCTGATTAATAGATAGGGTTCATTAATTTCCGCGGGGGCAACAAACAACATTACCATTCGACACACCTCTTTGCCACGATCAAACGTACGTTCACCTTCCGCCGCGGCTCTGACGAGTCACGTGCTTCTCTCC